AGTACCGTGACAGTTACCTGCAAAAGTTACATGTTTTAATTAAATCTAAGCAAAAGTAAACATTTTTGAGATGCTCAGTTATTTAAATTTTGTTTGGGGTGAATTAAGCAATAGTTTGTTGAGCAGATTTAACCAAATTGTATGAGTGCCATGAAACATGAAGAAATCTAATAGATTTAACCGATGAAAACATTTTCATTTCAATCATTCACAACACTTCCGCCCGTCCTTGTGCCACGTGCAGGACGCACACGCTTCAGCAGTGGATGAGCTACATTTTGTCGAGGTAAGATTATCTTAATTTGTTCAAAAATACGACACGTTTTAAACAATAACGTATAGTTAAAGTTCTAAACAGTATGATACGTCAAAAATAGATTAATAATGACCACTGTAATGACAGTATCATATTTTTACACAAAATGGCACGAAGTGGACTGCTAGCATAAGGTCACAGCTGTGTTACTTCAGAGCTTAACCACATGTTTTACCATATTAAAAAATATATCAATGATATATTTGATGGGCTGTAACCTCCCTCATTTACTTTTAACATTTTATGAAAACGTTTTGCACCGAGTGGTGATGTAGTTAAAATCCTTTGTGTGGGGTTTTGTCAGTCACAGTTTTTCGAAGCTTTTGTCTCCATGCAGTGTTTTTCAGCTGTGGTATTGAAGCTAAAGTGGCTCAGTCCAGCGACATAACTGGTTTTCATTGTCATGCTGTTGGAGCCTCGTGACTTTAGTGCAGGCACAGCTCACATAGAGGGATGATGGAGGTTCCAGTTAAACTTGGTGTATCAGTGAGATGCACGCTCAGTCATGTTTCTGCAGAACGATCTTCGAGACAAAGGTACATTCAGGTAGTAAAATAGTAATATGTGTTTAATCTGACATAAGTCTTTCATAATTCTATGTTTAACACCCGATGGTGTTTGGATACAGAGATGACCTTGTGTAGATTAAATCTACACAAGGTCATCTCTGAAATCTTCTGCCCACCTCCAAAGTAAAGACATTCTCGAGAAGTTGGCTGAAATTTTCAATTATGGCTTATTCTTCCTATTATTTTGGGGCAGCACTAGTGAAGAATTTCAGTGCATACAACGTAAATTAAGCAGAAAAATGTTATATTATAAATTTTGCATATGTTTTATACTCCACAATAAAAACAGTTACTGTTTGAATGTTGTCTTTGTGAAATTGATTCATTTTACTCAGAAAAGAAGTTAAATTAATTTGATTTTCTCTCATCATTCAGTCATTATTGATAAAGTTTAATTGGAACATTATTGAGTTTTACTTAAAAACAAAAAAAATCATTTCTTTGTAATGGATATTTTAGTAATTTTTTACTAAACCTTTGCCAGATTGTTAGTAAATTCAATGTAATTTTTCTCAGAGATTAATTTCAAATGAATTACTTTTTTGTTACAATTAGGCATTTTTAACCTTCAATTTGGGATTTTATCCCTAAATCCAACACATAATTGAATTTTATTAATATCTACTTTTGTTTTTTTGTTGAAATTTAATTAACACTTTATATACATTTTACATAAATCACTTGAAATTAAAACCTACTTAAGTAAATTAAGTGTCACTTTGTTGCCATAGGTTTTT